TTACCAGTTAGTCAAGCAGCGTCCCTGCGGTAATACAATGCAGTAACTTGAATCCTCCAGTCCCTCTCCCCACGTATTAATACAGCAAGAGTTCCACAGTACGAGGATATCCCATATCGGCCAGCTTGTCTGCAATCCAGAAACGTGCTCCACAGCTGCCCTTGTGCTAGAACACGCAGCGATAGGCGAGTGGAGGAGGCAGCCGCTGCAGCTCCGTGCGTTCAATGAAGCCGAGGCGCAGACTGAATGGGGAGGACGTCCAATCCCCGGGCTTGTCGCTCCAACGTTGACAATTAGAGCTGACTGGGATCTACCACTCGGAGCCCAGGCCAGGGAGACCGTTCCGGAGAGCAGAGGCCACGAGTCTCCCAGCGCAGAGCCGCTTCAGCACCACGGCCAGCTCCCCCGGCTGTCAGACGGTAGCAGCTCGCCGCCTCTGCAGCGCTCTCCTACCTTCCAGCAGTAGCGTCGTTCCAGCTCACGATGGGAACCGCTTCAAGTCGATGACAGAACAATCTTAAGATTAGGTTACAGTAAACTATCGTGTAGTATACAATATTATATCAGAAAAGGTGGAGCTCCGGCAATTAGTGCTAGGTACTGGACGACTGCTGCTTTATCATTTTTTATTATTAATTGTTTTGCTATTCATATTATGATTATGATGATGTTGAGATTTTTCTACGTTGCTCTCTGGTTCTGGGCTTCGCACGTGTCCTCTCGCCTTCGGTTTGCTTGCAGGAGGTGGTAATCAAATATTTGTTTCCTGCGCGTCATCCGCAGCCAAAGGCTTTCATTCCTGCACTGGCTTTGCCAAGTTCTCTGTGTGACATAAGGTCACATGCCACTGACAGTTTAGGCTATTAAGTGCTTATTGATTGTGTGCATTATATTATTTACTAAGCAGCAAAGTGTCATATCCCTTGGCAACTCATCCGCCATCTTCTGATTGCTGTAAACTCATGAATGATCAAATCTAAAGGGGTTTACTGCTCTCTGTAAGATTATGCTTCACTTTTCTGGATTACTAAAAAAAAAAAAAAAACTCTTGCAGCAGGGCTACAATTGCGATGCAAGGGTTAAGTGATTATTTATTTACAGGGATTTTCTGTAAAGGACTTTTACTTACCAGATCCCCACTCCTGCTGGCTCCAAGACCGCCACCTGCCCCCCCTTGCTACGGTGGTCGAAGGCCCGCTGATGTCATCATATCTACTTCAGGGCCGCATAGACCTATATTAGACATGAGGACAATGAGGAATAATGCATAAGCTAGAGTGGATAGGAGAGTGATGAACACCAACTGCTAGGGGAGCAGGGATCAGGTAAGTAACATTTCTGTGATTTCACATTGCTTCCAGGTTCAATGATCGGAGGAGAGATCAGCTGCTGGAAGTGTGCTGATCAACCTCCAATCGAGGCTCACAGACCTGACGCGCTGGTCCCAGGCCCACATGGTGGACAGTTGAACCAGGGATAGCCGGCAGCAGAAGGGGGGCACACACTCACCAGCTAGATACAAGTGATTGGGCGGCTCTGTAGCTGCCTGGACCCTTGAATGTCACATTTATCGCTGGGACAGTGCCGTGTATATACATATATCAGTCCTAAAGCAGCTAAAGAATCCCCCCAGTCAAAATGAGCAGTTAACCCTTGTTTTACTGGCTTTAAACAAGTCATAATATACACCAGGCTGTCCAGTGAGTAAAATGTTCTTCAAGCATAGGTCTGAATCTCATTTCCACTTAATGTAAGAGGGCACTCTGATGGGAACAACTAATGTAAGTGGGCACTGATGGGGACAGCTAATGATTAGTTGTCCCCATCAGAGTGTTCCTTTACATTGGTTGTCACTAGGGTTGTACAGATACCAAGTACAGTACTCGGTACAAGTACGAGTACATGTACCGATACTTTTGAGCTCCAAGACTAGACTAGAGAAAAACTCAAAAGTTAGGAGGCAGCTGTCATTTGTAAGGAGCACACGGAGCTCCTGGGATTTGTACATCTCTGTTTTAATGTATGATTTTGTTTTTATAAATATAAATAAAGGGATCCACAGATACCAGTTTTGCGAGTACGAGTACTGGTACTTGACGAGTACTTACAAGTACGAGTACTGATACATTTGTGTTTATTGTCATGTGACAGTTTTTCTAAAACAATACAGACTAATGATTGCAGGACAGTGGTGGAGTGCCAGAGCCCGGTCCCAGCTGCAACCGCTGCAACCCTGGTAGTTCTCATGAAAATGCCAAGTATCTGCACTGGTACTCGAAAAGTATCTGTGCATCCCTAGTTGTCACCTTTAGAGTGCCCCTTTACATTATTGTCCCCACATACCTTGTGTACCAGTAGAGAGAAGCGGAGTCCTCCAATAATGCTGGGGGGCTGGACAAACATTTGATGTCGCATGACTGTTGGTGCTATTATGTGCATTGTATACCAGCTGTATACATGGCAGGGAAGTACAGAGGCAGTGAGCAATGTGCAGTGGCAGTCTCTGGTATGAAAGTGCAGGGCAGTGAGCAGTATGTGGTGGCAGGGCAGTGAGCAGTGTGTGGAGGCAGTGCAGGGCAGTGTGTGGTGACAGTGCAGGGCAGTTGATCTGCACTGCCACCACACACTGCTAACTAGACATGTGCACCAGCAAAAAATTAGTTTAGTTTCGTTTCGTTTTGGAAAAAAAAATAAAAAATTAGTTTAGTTTCGTTTTGAAAAAAAAAAAACATTTGTTTAGTTTAGTTTCGTTTTTCGGGTCCGAAATTAAATTAGTTTCGGACGAAATTCGTTAGCGGTAGTCCTGCCGAAATTCGTTTATGAAAAAAAAAAAAACCTCACGCTTTTTTTTTTTCATCTTCTGCAGACTGTAAACAAAAAAATCATTTTGCTGCAACAGAAATGACATTAAGGGGAACAAAAATGACTTTTTTTTTTTTTTTTTTACAGTCTGCAGAAGATGAAAAAAAAAAAGCGTGAGGTTTCCCCCCAATTCATACCAGACCCTTTAGGTCTGGTAGGAATGTTAGGAGAATGCCAATTCAAAAGCAAAGGAAAAAAAAAAAAACTTTAAATATTAGTTGACTTGGCCAGGATTTGAATCTGGGACGTTAGCAACAGCAAGCCTGTGCTCTAACCTCTACACTATAGCCTCTGTACTTTAAACATAGATGTGTTGTAGAGGTAAAATGTTGTCATTTTTTTCTCCCCTAATGTCATTTTGCTGCAACGAAATTCGTCCAATAACGAATTTCGGGCATTTCGGATTCGTTTGCATTCGTCTTAGCTGTAATTCGGAATTTGGATGCATCCGAATCTCCGAATTTCCGAAAATTCGTCCAAAACGAATTTCGGAACGAACCGAATCGCACATGTCTACTGCTAACTGCCCTGCTCTGCCACCACACACTGCTCACTGCCACTGCATACTACTAACTGCACTGCAACCACCCACTGCCCTGCACTTCCATACTATATACCAGAGACTCCCTCCGCACTGTATACAGCTGCTATATATTGCATGCGGTAGCATCAGTAGTCACGAGGAATAGGGTGTTTGTTAGGCTGCATGGGGCCCCATTATTTCTAATGGAATCCTTGGTTGCAAGGACTGTTGGTGGTTGTAGAAACCAGGGACATCCAGTGTGTGTCCTGCCCCCAGAATTACTGGAGGATGGAAGAGTAGCTTGTTATGTCCTCAGCTGCAGCCTGCTCCGCCTCCTCCTACTAGTACACAAGGTATGTGGGGACGATAATGTAAAGGGGCACTCTAAAGGGGACAACCAATGTAAAGAAACACTCTGATGGGGACAACTAATCATTAGATGCCCCCACCAGGGTGCCCCCTTACATTACGTGTCTCCATCATAAGTGCCTCCTAACATTAGATGTCCCCATCAGGGAACCCCCTTACATTAAATGTCCCCATCAGAGAGCCCCTTACATTAGATGACCCTTGGTATATTCTATGGAAGCACAGACTTCCTGGTAAATTGCATACACTCTTACAGTGGAACTATGGGCAAAAGCAAAAATTACATACAGTATATGCTGCTGTCTGTCAGCATTAAAACTGTACTCTGGGCAGATAGCTCCTGTAAATACACAGATGAAATGCATATATAGGAGCTATTTTATCTGCCAAATGATTTGTATTATGGCCCATTCACACCAGAACCGTGTGTTAGTACATGCACTACTTTGTCCAACTACACCACAACACACACTATTGCGGTGCCACAAGCTTCAGTGCGGTCGATCAAGTTGCGGGCGGGAGGTGCGTTAGGAGTGCCACTCAAATGACTGGCAACACAACACCTCCCGCACTATCCTGTAAACACAACAGAAAATATGAAGAATTCCCCTTTTAGTTAGCTGTTGCCCGAACAGGTATCCCCTCTATTGGAAAAACATGTCCCCTCTATTCCTGTTCTGGTGACAACTCAAAATGTTGGATATTCTCAGTCCCGATAATGGTGGCCACCAGCACAAATAGAGAGAGTACACCTGCCCAGCAGGGACACATATGGCTTTAACAGTCTTATGTGGTTGTAAACCTTAAAGGAGAACTATGAGGTGAGTGGAAATCTCATCCTCATAGTTCGAGCCGACGTTTGACAATGAAACTGTCACACTCGGCTCAATAGATCGGGAAGTGAGCAAACACATACCGTCGCTCGCTCACTTCTCGATCACCTACCTGCAGAGAGTGGTGACTGTCAGTCACCGCTCCCTGCAGGGATTCCCCCCCCCCCCCCCCCCCCCCCGCCGCCCCCCCCCCGCCGCAAGATATGCTA